CTGTAAAACTTTCTATTCTTTGTAGCACTTAATAAGTTTTGTCTTTTTGCTATCCTTTCCAATCCCTGTTCTGTCATCCATTTATTTACTGAAACTCATTAGGTAACTTACACCCTACTTTCCTGTTGTCTTCAATGTCTTGTAAGTGTCAGATTCTCCGAACACTCTTTTCTCATTATATGTTCTCAACTGTCACTTTCTGATTCTAAGTATAATCATTGTTTTTGTTTCCATTATCCCTAATACTTCATCATTACTCACATGTTCAGTCCATGATATTTACAACATCATTTCTGTGGCCTCAAATAACTTCATATGTGAAAAGAGTATCCAGCATTCACTGACCTATAGGAGGACGAAAATTATGTAACAGCTCAACACTCATTTTTTTTGTTGTAACAAAATTTTTCTATCTTTGCTTAGCTTTTGAAATGTAATTTTGGTATTCCAGAGAGATTTCAGTTTCACATTTTCTGTCCTCTGTTAAAACATTTCTCAGACATTTAAATTTTTGTACTTGGTTAATTTTGGTATCTACAATTCATTATTTGCATTTTGGATTGTTTCTCTTGCTGACAACCATGAATATCTATTTGTTTAATCTTTCTCTTTGTGACATCATGATATTCCCTGATCAAAGAAACCAGATTATGATGAGAGAAAGAAGTAAAAAAAAAAAAAAAAAAAAGACAGAATTAATACACAATTCTAACACCCTGCCGCCACAACCAACATGCATACATAAGGGTGTCAGATAGTAACTGAATTTTAAATTTAATTTACACTGTGTAATATTCAATATCCAATTAATATTCATCACTGAAATATGTGCATTGACAAGAATGATATTATGTTTAAAATAAATACGTTTTTTATCATTAAGGTGCATATATATATATATATATATATATATATATATATCACTGTAAAAAAAAAAAACTGTCCAAAAGTTCATCTTTGTGAAAGACCTTTCAACCATCACTGGTCATTGTCAGCAATGCTGACCTGCATATATAACTGCTTATACACAAACTAGAAAAATATAACAAAAAAAAAAAAAAAAAAAAAATCAACAGACCTTGTCAGACTGTGCAAAATGGTTTGCCAAAAGGTGCAGAAGGCAATTGCTACCCAAGACCTTGATATTCTAGAGAGTACCTCCCTATGCAGAATAGTCAAGGGAGATGAGATTTAAGTTTACCATTATGAGCCAAACAGCAAAAGACAATGGAATGATGCCATTCAGACTCATTTAGATAGAAAATGTTTAAGGCAGCATAGTCACCATCATTTTCCCTGCAGACTGTGTTTTGGGGTCAGAAGACTTAAGATTTTATAGCCAACTGCACCACTATCAATTCTGACACCTCTATGAATACATTCTCAAAATTTGATTTCTTTGAACAAAGTCACATTTAAAGATTTTTGTAAGATGATAATCACAACAGCTTAAAAATCCAGATGACATTGTTCAGCTACACATTTGTGATTGCTTGTTTCATCCACTATAACCCTGACCATCAAACTTTCATCTATTTGGGTTCATGAAAGGGGTACAGCTGTTCTACAATGATGATCAGGTGAAAAAAGGGGTACAGCTGTTCTACAATGATGATCAGGTGAAAAAAGGGGTACAGCTGTTCTACAATGATGATCAGGTGAAAATGGTAACAAACAACCATGAGTTGGGTATACATGCCCTTATTCAAAGAATAACATAATTTAAAATAACAGATGAACCTTTTTGTAAGTTCAATGGCCATCTAGCACAAAGGAGTAGCCTGGGTTCAATAGCAGCCAGTGCAGTGATGACACAGCATCACTGGATGGAGAGCTTCCTAGACTGGTTAATGGCCAGGGTAGTGGGTTCCTCCAATGGAATCAAAGGCCATGTGTCTATAACCAAGGCAAGCCTTCAAGTTGGAACACATTGGCTCTCATTTGATCTAGAGAGGGAATCACCCCACTAGGTCCAAGACACACTTTATATGAATGAATGCCTCTAAGGTTTTCAACCAGATATATGAAAGCAACTGGTCAGATTCTCAGATGTGCAGGGATCCTATGCTAACACCCAGCCATGGGAGCATAGTTGAGGATTAAATGTGGAATCTACAGACTTTTGCGTTCATTTCAGTATTATTTGTGTATTTGTACTTTTAAATCTGTTATAATTAACAGGTATTAGTGTTTTTTAATTGTTTTATTCACACACAATTCATAATTGAATAGATTTTTTTTTTTTACATCCCATGAACCATAGGGTCTTAGGGCACCATGTGTACTACCACTCACAGTAAAAGTGGTGTTTCTTGGGAAAGATAGCCTAACGGCGCCCAGCCCTCTCCAGGCCAGTTTTGAATTCAGAGTTTTTCCTCCTAAATCGATTGCTACCCAAGGCTATAGAACCCAGTCTGTCTTGCTATTTACCCATAGCTGGGGAGAGAAGAAGAGGATTCATACCTTTCCAAAGGGTATTAGCATGTAATGTGAATGCAATGGATCGGACTGGAATTCAAACTCAGCTCTCCAATTCCTCAATCCAAGCCACTATCCATTACTCCACCGTGCCTTCCACTGAATAAAGTAGCAGTTGCCAATATATTGACAGGTCAATTTGGACAGCTTTTCTTTTACTGGTTATACTGACAGGTCAATTTGAAGAGCTTTTCTTTTATTGATTAACAATCATGCACTAAAAAGAAACTAGATTTAGAATTTTGATAACCGAAATATAATTTCATAAATTAAACATGAAGCAATTACAGAATAATTTATAAATTCAATAAGCACAAAATAATTTAAACTGTAATGACCTTAAACATTCTGCATGAAACAAAACATGTATTAAGAAAAATGAAATAGCACTTGGTTAACCCCAAGTAGAGAATAAGAAGTTTAAAGTTTTATCTCAACTGCTGTGAATTTGACACTGTTAGAAAAATATCCACAAGTAAAATGGAACTGAGACAAACATTCCAGCAAGTCACAAATATCTATTATTTTTTCTTATATATATATATATATATATATATATATGTTTTATTTACATTTCTGAAATGCAATTTTGTTACTTTTATATACTAATCCATTCAGACCGGTTTTGTCATATTTAATGAATTTGACTTTATTTAAAATTGAGTTGGATTTGTTTTGTCTTTAACCATTTTTCGTAGTTATAGTTTTATACACTATTTACATTATTCGGACTAGAACAGTCTACCCCAGTGAGCGAAATAAAGGGTTCAGTTTGATATTCCAACCACCTGAAGAAGGCTGGAGCGTACAACGGCCAAAACGTTGTAATAAATATGACAACAAAGAAGAAGACAATAGTCCGAATAATGTAAATAGTGTACATAATACCTCATCTCGGAAACATACTTATAGTTTTATGTCCTGAAAATTTTACATCAGCAACTAATTGTTGAAATGAATTATCAAATCATGACAGCTATTAGAAAGATGTGATTAAATATACTTTAATGTTTAAAAAAACTTATTCAGTATTATTATTGTTTAGGTAATAAGCTTTACAACATAGCACAAACAGCTATATTGTAGAAATTTTCCACAATATATGCATTTTTTTTTTTTTTTTTTTTTTTAGGGTTATTTTTTTTTTTAACTTTTATCAAAAACTATATTCTTGTACATGTAGTTATGGATAATATTAATTTATGTAGTTATGGATAATATTAATTTATGTAGTTATGGATAATATTAATTTAAAAAATTAGTAATTAATGTATAACTATTTGTGCTCAGTTGTTGACATTAATAGCTATCTGCTGATGTATTAAAATTTTAGAATAATAGAAATTTAAATTTCATTTCTCTGATGTTGCAATCTGTAAATAAAGCCTGGAATTTACTCTAGTCTTTCTCTTTCATACTAGAAAAGGACACTGGACATAAAAGATTGAGAATAATATGCAATCATGAATCAAAACAAGCATTCATCTGATATTAGAAGTTAATAAATGCAACTAATGAGGATGACCACAAAGTGCAGCAGGCAAAAATTAAAAACAAAGCCCAAAAGATGAGCCAAATGTGTCAATAGAATGCTTAAAAGTTCATATTCCATGCAAAAATTAAATACATTGAAAATTTTCAATGTATTAAAACCTGAATTTTTAATTAAAATAAATAATTCATATTTCCATCTTTAACACCACAGTAGAATCTGTCTGGCTCTACAGCTCAACAACATGGACACTGATGAAACACCAAGAAGCATCACTTGACAGAACATACACAAGGATGTTATCAGTTGCATTGAGCATCTGCTGGAAGAAACACCCAACAAAGAAATGCCTGTATGGACACCTTTCTCCTATCTCAGTTTCGCTAAGAGAGAGAAGGCTTCAGCTAGCTGGTCACTCCTGGAGAAGTCAGAATTTGTGAGTGACACCCTCCTATGGAACCCACTGTGCGGCAAAAGATCGGTTGGAAAACCACATCACACCTACATTAACCAACTTTTAGATGACTCTAGATGCCATCTGGAGGACCTGCCAACAGTGATGTCTGACAGAGATGGTTGAAAGGAACAAGTCAAGAGTATCCAAGAAGAATTTTTATATGAAAAGAGGAGGTTTATTTTGTTTTCTTGTAAGCACAAAACCAAAAATTCATCACAAATAGAGTAATCAAACCAACTATACATAGTTATTTATTGCTTCAATTAAAACAATTGTGGCATAAGGCCAATGGGGAAGTTGGGTAAAGCTGGTCCACACTTTCTATCCTAAACTTAGCTCATCAGATTCACAACTAATGTATTTTTTACAATTTGCTCATTCACCACAAAAACACATCATCATTCAATACTACATATGCCCAATACTACATATACAAAAATACAACAAATTCTCAGGGAACCTACAAAAAAACAACATGACATAAAAATTTCATTATGTACAAACAGTTCCAGTATCTTTTTGTTGTCACACCAACCATACATATATTGAATGATGGAAAAAAAAAATGCTTACCTGCGAGAAAAAGGGTGATCTATGTCCCCTGAAATCCTGTTAATGGGAGGGGATGGAGTAGGCATGGGACTTGGTGGGGTCTTGATTGTATTAGTGAGGGTACTGATGCTGAGAGGACGGGATGTTGCCATGTGAACCGTCTCACCACTGACCTTATCTGGCGGGGTCAATGAACCAGCTGGCATTAGATGTACTGATGCATCTGAAACAAACAAAATAATGAGTGAAGTAAGAAAAACAAAAAAAAAAAAAGGTACATAAATGTAGAATTTATAAAAGTCTAGACAGTAAGCTGGATATATATTGGAGGAAGAAAATTATTTAAATTATACTCCCTAACAAAATTGAAACATTTAATTAATATTAATTTACAGATTCATCTTTCTCTATTGACTCAATCAATGTCTCATAAAGAAAGGCAAAGAAATATGAATTGTATTTTGGGGGTAATTTTTTCTTTTCATTTCTTTGATTTTTCATTACTTTCATTTACTTCACAGGGGCAGCTATTTTTTTTTTTTTTAATTACTCCACCTGAACTTATTAAAAACAAACAATTTCTTAATTTTACATTTTTTGATCTTTTAAGAGATTTTCCAACTTACCCTTTTATTCAAACCCTCTCATTTATTGCATATTGAAAAAAATCTTGACCCTCCAAATATTAGCCCACCCCTTGTATTAGGCACCTAATAATAGTTTCTAATTTAACTAGTAACTATAAGGCATTACAAGTAGATGCTATGAGTGCTTTGCCAAAGAGCAGTGGTTAGCAAGCTAATCTTGCAGGCCATCACTCTTCACCAATGATCTTCCTAATGTCATCAGTTACCAATAAGGTATTTATGTTGATGACACAGCTATTTACTCATTTTAATAATCAGCCTTGTAGATCCAAAGTAATAGACAAAGTAAAACTGGGAGCTGTTCTCAAAAATGACCTCCAATCAATTATTAGCTGGAGCAAGGAATGGCATGTACAATTTAATGCCTTGAGAGTGAAATAGCTATCTTTTAATCACCTTTTTGTCTTCTCCCAATATAGCTGATATTAACCTCCAGGAGGACAACTCATTGCACCTTCTTGGTCTCATGTTTTCCACTGACAAAGTGGAAAGATTATATTAAATCAAGTGCAAGTTCTATTGCTAAGCAAGTTAGTTCACTGTTTCATACCAGACAGTTTTTCTCATCAGAATCCATCTTGAACATTTATAAATCTACCATTCGTCCATGCATTGAATATTGCTGCCATATCTGGTCTGGTGCTCCTGCTATATATCTTGAGATTCTTGACAAAATCCAAAGAAGGGTCTGTAATGTAATCAGTCCTAACAGGACATTTCTACTTCAGTCACTTTCCCACCACCATGAATGTGGTTTCCTCTATCTTTTTTTATAAATATTTTCATGGCAATCATTCTAATGATCTTTCTTCCTTGGTATTTCAAGCAGAGATGAATTTAAATATACTACTAGATTGGCAACTAGGTCTTATTGTTTTACTGTGGAATTAGCTATATGTAACTAAGTCCTATTCTAATAGCTTCTTTTCTAGCACTTCTTGCCTGTGGAACTCTTCAGGTTTCTTGCTTTCCTGCCACTTGCAATCTTCTATATTCCTGAATCCAGTTCTTTTATTCTACATTCCCCTCACTAATGTTTTCTCGTTCTCTTTCACTTACAGTAAACCACTTGTATGTTAGTGGCATTATTGTCTTGCCTGGGGTGAAATGATTAAAAATAAAATTCTTACTGGGTTCCCCATACTGTTCAATTAAGTGTACTAGTAAATATTGATAAATAATAGTCTCCCCTTGACAATGGTCTTGATTGTTTAAAGAAAAAATATATTTAATACTTTGTATATGATATACTAATATATTATAATATACTCTTTTTTTCTTTTTTTGTAACAACTCTGTAGACTTCCTTGTAGAGTATAGAGCTACAATCTCACCATTCTAGGCATTGCTGCTGTGGTTTCTATAACAAATAGGTTTTTGCAGGGTGGAGTTGATAGCCACACATGCCCAACCAATTTTTGATTCAGAGTTGTCTTTCACTTAGACTGGCTGCCAACCAAGGTTAGAGAGCCAAATCTGCCCTGCTATTAACCCCTAACTGGGGAGAGAAGAGATGGATTTGTACTTTTCCAAAAACCAACTGTAAATTAAAATGTTGCAGTGTATTTCATCAATTAAAAAAAAAAACAAAAAAAACAACACTTCCTTAAACTTGAACTTAATTCACAAATAAACAAAAATGCTTTGAAAACATGAATAGTCAATCTATACTAACCATCTGCTTATGGAATCTATATTATCATCATAGTTAAAAATTATTAAATAAATACAACTTTCATTCAGTCTAGTGTTTACATAGATCATGACAAAACAGATTCTGACAGGGATGACATAATGGCTGTATTTTTAGTGCCAAGTTATTAAAAATGGGCAGAACTATTTTGCCAATCTTCTCTATAGGTTTAGTCATTTTTTTTAATAGGAAGGGGAAAAAAATTAATGAAAAAAATGAAAGATGAAAAAAATACTTCCAGAATAGAGACTATTATATTTCTAAGGGATCAATATTCAGAGAAATTAAAACGATTACTTGGTTACTTATTTTAGTGCATCATTTTACTTACAATTATTGCCATGTAATATGAACAATAGTCAGTGCATTATTTAAACAAATTAGCCATAAATAACCAACAGTACTTTTGATAGCCACTTGTCACTATTGCCAACTAAGTCTGTTTTTACATAAGTAGCAAAGTTATAATTCTAACTAATGCAGTTCAATCAAAATAAGAGTTGTCTAATTTGTTGCATATCTATAATTTAGGAGTAATCTGAAAAACAATGCTTAAATTTATCAAGAGTCATTGTGCATTATGATAGGAAAAATGTAAAATATTTTAAAAATAGAATGGAAATTCATCTATGTGAATGGACTCAAGATAGATTCTTCAACACTGATGGCCAAACAGAAATAAAAATAAAATCTTGATCACATACAGTGCCACTTGAAAGTAACCCCCACCCCCAGACATGGTCAGTGTGAACAAATTTAAAATAAGCCTATTAAATGTGCATCAAACATCAATTTGCAAAGTAGACTTTCCAAATGAATACAAAAAGAATTTATTTTCATTATTTATTTAAAAAAAAAAAAAGATTTACTTCACCAAAACTGAAAATTTGACATGCGCAAAAGGATGTGAACCATTTTAGTTAGTATGTTGTGGAACCTCCTTTTGCAGCAATTACTTCAACCAAACATCTCTGTAGCCACTGACCAGTCACTCACATCAGCTGTTGGAGATTTTTGTCCACACCTCTTTGCAAAACTTAGCTAGTTGCGAGAGGTCGGAGGGACATTTGGCATGAACAACATTTCTGTTGGATTGAGATCCAGACTTTGACTAGGCCAATCCAGAGTATGAATCCTCTTCATTTTAAACTATTCCTTGGTATTTTTTCTGGTATGCTTAGGGTCAATGTCATGGGAGATTCTGATACAGAATTTGTTAATAGGACTGAGAATTCATATTTCCCCTGGATAATATGGAGTTGTTCAGGTCCAGTGGCAGAAAAGCAGTCCCACCACTATGCTTCACTATTGGAATAAGGTTCTTTGTTTGGTAGACAGTGTTGGCTTTTCTTCAGACATGGCAGTTTTGATTCTGACCACACAATTCTATCTTTGATTCATCTGTCCAGAGAACGGACGTCCAGAAGGCCTAGGGCTTGTCCAAGTGTTCTCTGACAAAGTTTAAACAGGCAGTTTTGTTCTGCATTGACAACAGAGGTTTCCTTCTAGCAGCTCTCCAATGAATGCCATGTCTATTCAATTTTCATCTGATTGTAGACACATGTGCATTTACTGCCAGAAAAGTCGGCAACTCTATGGAGGTGATGTGTGAGTTGCTTTTACCTCATTTATTATTTTTTTAATGTTTCTTGGTGATAGCTTCAATGGGTGCCCACTTCTAGAAAGAGCTGCAGTCGTGTTGAATGCCCCCCATTTGTAAATTATTGTCTTACAGTGGATGGATGGATGGAGCTGCAATCTTTTTGAGATGGTCTTATAGCTTTCCCTAGACTAGTGAAAAGTCGGTAACTTCTTCCTGATGTCATCAAATATCTTCTTTCCTCTTGGCATTGTTGATCTGTTAGGCATTACAGATTGTAGCTTGTTTCCCCTCTTGTTTAATCTGTGTTGCCCAACCAAGGATGCTTACACTGAATAATTAAGCACCCAAATGTGTTTCAGTTGAATTTATTACCTACTTGACTTCACCAATACAGAGTGTATGTGTCAGATTTTCAGTTTGGGAGAAATAAATCACATTTTTTTTAATAAATAATTAAAATACATAACATTACATAAAATATATTTTTTTGTTTTTTGTGTACATTATTTGGAAATTCTATTTTCCAAATTGGTGTTTGGGTGCACATTTAAAAGACTTATTTAAAAACTCTTCACATTAACAATGGTGGGGTTTACAAACTTTCAAGCAGCACTCTATATTACATCCAAATGAATATACACCCTTGTGTAAATTAATTGAAACAACTGCTTTAATTTCCTTTCTTTCATCATATGGTCAGTTTTAGACCCACTGGAGTGACAGGGTGTAATCGATTTCTATTTTTTCCTCCGATTAGGTCATTTGCAGTGGTGTGCAGTAATATGAATCTATTTTCAGGGAGTGTGTGATGAAATTTGTTTGGCTTTGAAAAATATTGCGTTATCCATGTTTGCTTCAGATTTTCATTGCACCCAGACACTATTGTCTCAACTGTCGATTAGTTGTTCTACAGCCATTGTCTGCAATGAAAATTACTCCAAGGAAGCTTATGAAAACTGTAACACTGCATGAACACAAAGGCAAGCCTTACCAGTGAGCAAATCAAAATACTATTGACTGGCTCAGAAACTTTCCCGATTTAAATCCAATCAAGAATCTGTGGTTAATCTGCAAGGAAAGACTTTGTGAAATGGGCATATGAAGTACTAACATGTGCATTGGATCATGTTTCATTGAAAAAATACAAAAAAAAGTAAATAATGGAATTATTTGTTTTGTTTCAATTAATTTGCACAAGTTAATCAATTTTAATGAACACACACAACAATGTCTATCTATTAAGCACAAACTTTGTCAAATTTA